ATGCCCACAAGCAGCTGTGGATAGCTGTGTCCCCACAGCATTGCAGGGCCCTGCTGCCTCTGCCATAGGGGTTCCTGTTGGAGGAAGACCACCCTTGTCCAGGTAGGACCATCCCTCCACTCTTGGATAACGCTGCCCTTCTCCACCAAGGGCAGCACACACGGGATCAATGCCCGGCAGCACTCAGGGAGGTCACACCAGAGCAGCACTGACCCAAATCCAATCTTCCCTGTCCCCTGACTGCACGGTACCTGTGCAGGAAGCCGCGAGAGAAGCCCAGCACGTGGTGCCAGGGCTCAGGCTGAGCGCCAAGGCAGCATCCAGCACGTCATTCGCACATGCAGGGACTGAAAATCCACTTGTGGTAACAGCACGTCTGTTTGCGCGAGGTGGTGGCCAACTGCGAGTGCTGCTCACTTCATCAGCACCTTCCCCTCCATCCCAAAGCTCAGCCCAGGCTCTGTTTTCCTACAGCCCTTTGGAGCAGGAACCACCAAGGCTCTCCCTTGGTTCCTGCAAGCCACTGCAATGCAAACACCAAAAGAACAAAAACAACCTGAAGGTGTTTCGCTGCCTCCAAGCTCTGTCCCTGTTATTGTATTTCATACACATATTTGGCTGAAAAATCCATTTCCTGGGACACTGCTGCAGCGAGCTGCTACAACTGTCAGCGTAAATGATGTTCTGCCAACGGCAATCTCGCAGTGTCATCTCTAATAACACGGCACTAAATCCCAGCTCACGGGGGACGTGCTCAGCTGCTGCAAGACTCCTCAGTGGCTCAGCCCAGACCCCCACCCATCGCCCCACTCTGTTCTCCTGTCTCTGCATTACTGCAGCACAGGGAGAGGATCATTTGGAGCAGCACTGCACAAACATCACCCCTGAGAGAGGTTCTGTTGATACTGGGGGAAAGCTGTTGCACATCCTGCTTCTTGCCAGCCTTGTCTGAGGCAAAGGTCTTTCCCCATATGCATAACAGCAACCACGGCCACCCCACACACACAGACCAGGAATAGGGTGCAGAGGGCAGGAGGAACAGAAATCCCACATTCACACTGAGGTCTATGTCTGCACATCCCTCTGCACGTGCCCCTCAAAGCCCTCTGGCATCAAATGCCCATAATCACTCTCCAGATTGACTCCCTTCCAAAAGGGGCAACTCCAAGGCTATTTATTACATTATCCCTATTTACAGAAATTAAAGTGCTGAGGAACTGATTCTCCTCTGCAGCCCGACAACAGAGAGGGAAGTAGAACCCAGGAGCTCCCAGAACCACACTTTGACGACTCCTCTGCAATAACCAGTAAATATGAAAAGACACCAACACTGAGATCTACAGGAAGGAGCTGTGGGGTTGGGATCTCAAAATGGATGGTCTTGTTTGAACGTCTGGTACCTCTCTCACCCTAGAATCTCTATTAGATTCTAAAATTGCCAAGATCCTTTCTTTAGGTCATTTAGGGGACACCACACTGTTTGTACATACTCAAAGAGATTAAAAACCAAGGAGGAACAAGAATTTTTTGATTCCCAACACTGTGCAACCACAACTAATAGGATGAACTGCAGGAAAGTGAAATTGAGCTTTGTTGTGGAGAAGAAAGATCCCAGTATTCATTCAATGGGGATGATGCAATGCCAGTTAGGGGGAGTCCCACTCCTTGTGTCATTTAAAAACAGAAGGGATAAAGTCCTTGCAAAAATCTACTGTTCCAGCAGAAGCAGAGCTTCTGACTGTTATTTGTGCCCCATTGTGCCAGTGGTGGGGCAAACACACAGCAAGAGGGAGTCCCTATTCCTATGAAAACACACAGAGAGCAAGCGTGTGCATGACACGGAGGGGAAAAGTGAAGTGACAGGTAAAGTGACCTACTGAGACCACACGTCATGTTCCCCAAGACTTTCTGCTACTCCTCTTTGAGAGCTGCTTTATGAAGCGTGGCAACACTTCCATGTGCATGTCAGGGACTGGGAACACGATCAAGACACACAGGGAATTTGTTCTTTATATACAACTTCAGAGCAGGGCTCCAGAGCCTGCCTCCAGAAAAAGTTGCTACAAGAAACAAGACACAGCTGACCCCAGGGAAAAGCAGCACGCACACCCAGAGCCTGGGAAAAGCATCCCACAGGCAGCTCCTAATGCCCTTTTTGGCAGAGAAGGCTGGGCATTCATCACCTGTCCAGGTGAGGGGTGAAGGGATGGAGCTGCCAGCTGTGTTTGGCACTGTGTCCGCTGGGGAGCAGTGCAGATCCAAGGGGAAAATCCAAGCTATCCCTATTTTGACAGCAGGCCTGCGTGACTGTATCCTGCTGTCCCGTCTGCTCTCTTTTCCCTTCCAGCTTCCCCAGGGAAGGTCTGGAAATTTGCACCATGAAGTCTGCACAGCCGAAACATCTGCAGCACCGCCGCTCCCTGCCCTGCCTGGGCAAGGCCAGCATGGACACAGCACAGCTGGAATTCCCCCTAGGATGGGGGAAGTCATGCTGTCCAGGGAAACAATACTTTTGGGGGTTTTAGGTCGTGCAGATATGACAGAAGGAGGTGTCATGCTAATTGCTGCCTTTACTGGGAAAAGGCCTTTAATAAGGGAGATGGAACAATTCCCAGCCATCACATCGGCAACAGGGGGAACGGGAACAGGACAACTGGGCAGAAGAGTTATAGGGAAACAGATTCTTTTGCTATGCACAGCCCGTTCAAATCAGCCCTGTCTGGCAGGGGAAGGGGCATGAACACGAGATGTTCCCAGGCCTGAGTGCTGGAAGCATTTGTATCATCACTAGCAAGACCCCAAAATCTGCCCCGAGCACAGACTGGATCATCATCACACAGCACTGCCAGTGCTGCCAGAGGGACACCAAAGCAGAGGACAGCTGGTAAGGAGACACATGGTCCCACTGCACAAACCTTTTCCAGGGCCTTTGGCAGTGCAGCAGGAATTAAAAGCTGGATTATCATCTTACCTCAGCACAAAGGACTCCCCAGCCATCAGCGGGGAGGGAAATAGTTTAGTTGCTCCTGCCTGCAGACACATAAGAGTTTGGTCCCTGATATTTCCAAACAAGCAACTCAAGCAACACTAAATAGCTGTAATTTCAGGCTATTGTTCCTTTTTCTTTGTTTTTCAGTTTGTTTTGTGTTTTTATTTTTCCTGGAATTCTTTGTTTGTTTTGGTTTAGTTTTTTCGAAACTGGCAAAGGATTTCTGCCTGACCACATCACTCTAACTACTATCAGCTGCTTCTGAACAGGGAGGAAAGACTCCTCAAGCCAGTCCAGGCATCCAAAAATGTGCCTCTGATGGTGAAGTGATGAAACAGAAAAGGATCAATATCATGCCAGTCACTGGTGGAGGAGTTTGAAGCCTGCACAGGTCACTGCAGTTTCCCATCTGTCTTGGAGATACTTCTCCCCAATTATAAAAAACCCCAGAGATTTAACAGGCATGTTTTTCATCACTATCAGCTCAATCTGGTGAAAAACTCAACCTCGCATATTTGTTTTAGCAGCCAGCGGGTGGTGTGGTGCTGCAGAAGAGAGATTTGGGTGAGAACTCCAGGCAGAAATCTGCTTGGGCCGGCTGGTGCTCCAGAAGGAACGCTTCCCATTTAACCTCTTCCATTGCCTCCATTTGCAAAGCAGATTAAACACTGCAGAGCTACAAGATGCAATTATGCAGAACGAGTTATGATGCCAAGGACGGCGAATTCACCTTTGCAGCTCGATCAATATCAGTTATCGATGGCAAACCGTGCCCAACACGGGAGCTGTCTCTGGAGTGTGGAACTGCCCACGGGAAGCACTCCCCTCGGCTCTGTGCTTCATTAAACACACAGAGGATCTGGCAGGGGCTGGCAATTAGATACAGAGCTTTCAACTGCTCACGAATTCACTGCAGATTCCTCCCAGATTACCTCCACGACACAATCCATTGATCAGAGGTGTGTTCTCAGGCTCCACAGTTAATTACACTCCCTGCTGATGGATGAACAGCAAAGCCATCGCTGTGAAATTACACTGGGAGCAGAATGCCAAGCAACACAATCCCAAACAAAGACAAAAGGGGCTGGGAAGGATTTTGGAGCTTTCAAGGTTAAAGCTGCCAGCAAAATACACCGGGGTCATCACAAACAGGGGACAGACGTGGCAGGGGGACACTGTCCTGAGAGAAGGGACAGCTCAGCCAGACTCCCAGCCCTGTTGAGTTTGTCCACTCGCAGAAGGGGATTATACAATGCTGGGGAGGCAGCCAGGCGTGCTGGGAAGGATGCTGGAGTCTGGAGACCCCCACTGCACTCATGATCTCAGCTACGTTCTCATGTCCAGACTTGCCCACTGCACTCTTGGTTTACAAAGAAAAATGCACTCAGAGACTGAGGCCCAGACTGGGAGGCGAAGGACAGCTCACACCCAGAGCCTTGCTCCAAAGGCCTGTGTCACTAGAGGAAATCCAGCTGAGGCTGTTCCCAAATACCACACCAAAGATCCCTGGAGCCTACCCAGCACTCAGCAAAGAGCCAGCAATATGGACACAGCATGCAAATCAGATGTAACTGTGCTCAACCTCCTCTGGCCTGTGCTAGGCAATCCGGGTAGACACAGTCCTGCCAACTACTCCAGCCTCCAACTCCTTCTCTTGCTCACTTGAGAAACACCTTCCTCTGTCCATACTAGCCTTCACTTGTCTTGCCATCCAAGGCCACTGGAGATGAGTTGCAACAATGCTGCACTTCCTAAGGTGCAAACAGGGAGCCCTTCTAATGGCCCCAGAGCACAAAGGAGTCCTCCCAACCCAGCCTGCTTATCCCATCAGAGTAAAGAGAGAAACCTTTCACAAAATGCCTTCTCTTCAAGTTTTAGCCAAATCTGGCCACATGCAGAGCCACGCCAGCAGGAGGGATGGCCATGGGTGTTTCAGCCCAGCTTGCCACCACATACAGTGAGTACCTGGCAGACCTGTGCCCAGCCCAGCAGGCTCCTGCCAGCTCCTTACCTTTCACCACGCTCAGGGTGGCATCGTTGCTGTAGCGCTTTCGGGCGGCGTTGGTGGCCACGCAGTGATAAGCCCCGGCATCACTCTCCTGCACATCCACGATTTGGAGGACACCATTGGGAAGAGTTATAAACCTGAGTGAGCAAAAGGAAGAGTGTGAGACAGGCTGTGCCTTATCCAAGCTATTGATCCCTCCCTTTTATCCTTTCCTTTTCCCTGCCAAATGTCTCATGTCTTGGTAATGACGGCAGAGTGGGATCAAGAAACCTCTGAGCAACCCAACCTGTGGTTCTTCAAAAGCAGCGGATACAGACCTATCCATCACCTTGGAGTCTTCACAATACAGAATCTGCGTTTGAGAGACCAGGTTAAGAGGGCTTTGCTGACACAAACCATCTGACAGTACAAATCAAATCCATATACACACACACATCTACGTACACACTTGTAATGTCTCCAAGCACACAGGTGCTTGAACACACACTACAGCCAGTTTCAGCACTTGCTTTTCACAAAGATTTGGCTGCCAGAGAAAAAAACACATTGCAAAGAAGTCTGAACATCATCCTTTTCCTGCTGCACCTCAAGTGCACGAAGGGACCAACTGATACACGGTTGCACCTTCATGGGCCAAAGCAGCCGCGGCACAGCCATCTGAACCTGCACCATTCCCAGGTTGTGGTGATTCCTTTCCTCCTTCCACAAGTTTCTGGCTTTTCACAAGCTGACAAACTTACAGCTGGGCACTCAGAATCCCCCCATTTGCCCATGGGGTGCTACTGAGCAACACTTCCACGGAGTGAAATGGCTACAAGGCTCACGACATGAACACAATCCTTGCTGCATTACACTGAACAAAGCTGATGATTAGCAATTAGCATAAAAGTAGGAGCTGGCTGTCAGCATCTCCATTTTCTGCCTGGATTCCTAGATGGCAGCCTCTTTATTCTTGAACGCAAGGCGCAAAGCCTACGTGATCCTTTTTAATTATATATGAGATCCATTTTTAATTGCAAGTCTCTATATAAACAGAGCTGCTGAGGTTTGACAGGCAGCTCTGGGTTATCAGTCTTCATTATGAAGAGGACACATTCAAAGGCAATTGCTGAGGGCAGGGATAGCAGCTATTCCACGGGAACAGCACAAAGACAAGTTATAACCACAAATGCCAGTCCTGCCATCCACAAAGATCACAGTCAGTAAAACTGGGGTTCTCCAGGTGCTGAGACAGCTGGAGTGCCATGAACAAGGGTCATGGAGCCAGGAAGACCTTAAGAGATCACTCATCCTGCATTCAAACCACGATCCCCAAACACACATCTGCTCCTGCAAACATTTTTCCTAAATCTGCAGTAATGGAAACACATCCCTTACCCTAAGCAGTCTGTTCTAGAGACAAATATCCCTGCTACAAGTCTAGCATCAATCCTGGACCTCAGCTGCTGCAGTTGAGCTCATCACATCTTGTCCTCAAGAGATACCAGAGCTCCTCCAGTGACCATTCTGCCTCTACTGGCACAATCCTACAGCCTGATTCATGGACACCGACCAGCTGAAGCTTCCCATGTACACAAACCCAATGCCACAATGCTTTACATCCCTAAAGCCACGATCCCACTACTTACAAAGACACTTTGCTCATGATCAAGCTCCAGAGACCTCAGAGGAGGCAGCACCCAAAAGCCCTCATCAGGATGCCTCATCAGGACTTGGGAGAAAGATGACAAATATTTGCATCCCCTCAGCTCTGTGGAGGGAAAGCCTCCCACTGCGATAATATTTATTTTTGTCGTGCATCTGCTATTTGAGTCTGTAATTAATATCAACATATTTCAAACACCAGGCAAGGCATCTCCCAGCCACAAAAAGACACTCCAATTATGTATCACAGATTCAACAAGGCTAGGAAGGACCTCTGGAAATTGCCTGTGGCTTTTCTTCTCTCAGAGCGGGGTCAGAACCGTGCCCACAGTCATGCCCAACACTCTCAGTTTCTCTTGAGGGCAGAAAACAAGCTACTGTGTTTCTAAAGTGAGCAGGAGTTGGAGACAAGGGGGGTGAGTGGGAAGACTCCATCAACACAGAGCTTCAGATGATCCCTTCAGCAAGGTAGAGGTCTGTTTAATGCAGTACATCCTGTTGGGAAAGCATGGCAGAGGTAAGGATTGCTCTGCTGGGGAAGCGAGCAGGGAAGAAAGGCAGGATTTCTCTATCTACCATTTCTCCTAGCTGCTCACAAAGCCTCCAGCTCTTCAGGACCCCAGCAGCCCTGAACTAGAAGCTTCCAGGCAGCCTGCAAGGGCACTTGCTCCATCCCCAGGCTCTCTGCGAGGAAGTTTCCCTGATGACTCAGAGCAGACAGTTGGCGAGGGCTTTTCTTCCACGCAAAGGGCAGAGCTTTCTGTCTGCTCACCTTCTTTGTGGATTAAGCAGAACACAAAAACCAAAGGACAGACAGACACACTGGAACCTTGGCAGTCTCAAGAGTTCTGCTGTTGACAGCTGCAGTGTCAGGATCTCACAGGAGCCAGCCTTGAAGGGTAGTGAAAGGCAAGTGCCCCACCTGGAGCAGGTTGAAGGGCAGCACACTCAGACCAGGGCACAACTACCACGGACACAGAGCAAGAGCAACAGGGCACGCACATGTAGCTGTTCCCCTCCCTGAGCAGACTGTACCTGAGAGCACAGAGGGGCTCACAGCTGCTCATCAGGGCAGTGCTTAAGAACTGAAATCAAGCACTGCTGCCTTGTGTCCAAAACCTGCAACCCTACAGCTCACAGAACACTCCAGCACTAACAGCCCAATTCCCTCTCCTATGTTCTCCCCAGTAAACTGCCAGCACACCCTTCCTGCAGTCTTTTGAAGGTGTCCAGAAGAGACCAAAGCACCAATCCTCAGGACAGTGAGGAACCTGCAGCTCTGTTGCAGACTCAAAGTCTGCAAGTCCTTTTTCTCACAGCTCAAGAGCCCTATTTGAACATGAGCCATATTAAGGCTCTCCTGACACTGCACAGAAATAAACTCTTCACACAGATAAAACCCTCCCTTAGCCAAAATGTGGAAAAATATACTGTGATTGCAGAGCATGTGATCTGGAGGTTATGGATGTGCTGTGCAGACCTCCAAAGGCCTCTGGTTCATAGCAAGTGCTCATCTTGGCTCTAGAGAAAATAAACGGCAATTTGGAGCCTGATATGAAACCCAGCCAGCATCTAAAGAGAGAAGAGATCACGCCAAGAGATGCTGCACACACCCCAGAGCAACTGCAGTCTAGAGAAATCCTGCGAGCCACCTCTCAGCAGCTGCTGCAGATTTAAGACCGTGTTTTTTCAACATAATTCAGAGCCAGAATTGCAAAATACTTCTGTGCCTTACTCACGCACAGAGTTTAGATTTCGTCCTGAACAGGGACAGGAAAGGTATTCCAAAAACACCAATCAGCACTTTACTACCCTTTAGGGTGTCTAAGTATTTTTTAAGCTCAGCCTTCAGTATCTTTGAGGTGGCACCATGTTAGAACCTGTACCCAGGGGCAAAGGCTGTAATGAGTGCCCACAGGTAAGACCAACAAAGAAAAGGGGGAAAAAAAGACGAAGGGAGAGAGGGAGAGAGGGAGAGAGGGAGAGAGGGAAGAGAGTGAGGGGGAGGAGAGAGGAGAGAGGCGAGAGAGGGGAGAGAGAGAGAGAGAGGGAGAGAGGGAGAGAGGGGAGAGCTGAGAGGGAGAGAGGGAGAGAGGAGAGAGGAGAGAGGGCGAGAGAGGGGAGAGAGGTGAGAGAGGGAGAGAGGGAGAGAGGAGAGAGAGGATGAGAGGGATGTGAGAGGGAGGAGAGGCTTGAGAGAGGGAGAGAGGAGAGAGAGGGAGAGGAGGGAGAGAGGGACAGAGGGACAGAGGGAGAGAAAGAAAAGGGGAAACAGAAAAAGAAGAGGGGGAAGCAATGTGAGTTTTCCACGATTATTCTGTCTTAAAAGGAATCCCAAGCCCTGGTGTAACAGCACTACTCCAGGGTTGTATCTCCAGCCTCAGAGCCTGATTTTGCACCCCTCCCAACCTTGCTATTCTGGACTATGAAATCATCCCCCCCACCCCTGCCCAGCCACAGGATTGCATCTGCACAGGCTCATCCCTGTGTGCACAGGAGGGAGCCCACAGCAACCAGGGCAGCCTCAGATCCGGTCCTCAGGCACGATGCAGGGAGGATAACACAGAGCTCTGGTTGGCAGCCAGCGTTTCCTGGAATTCACTTAATTCCTTCGAAAGCCGGTTATATTAAATCCAACAACAACTAGACAACAACAAAAAAAAGCAAATCCTTCTGAAAAAGCATATTAGCTAGAACATGATTTAAAAAGCAAGATTTGCAGCCAGAGATTATGGCCTGGCTTTTACAAGGAAAACAATTTTCAGGCTGCCTGTGATGAAAGCAATCCCTGAGCAAGTAATTTCACAATATCCATCGAGCTGTCTCATTAAAAAGCCATTGCCCTATCTATGGCACACTTCTCCCTGCAATCCCTTCTTTTTTGTTTTTTGGTTTTTTTTTCCCCTTCCTTTTTTATTAATTAATTTTCTTCTCCTTACAAAGCAACAGCCTCCTATAAACCTTTAGATGCCACACTTCGGACTCAAGGATATAAGTGGTTATTCTTACAGAAAGCCACTGCTGCAAAAGTATTCCTAAACCTTACCCCACCCCTTTCTTTCCTCTCCTGCCTCTTGGATTAACTTCCCTGGGAAGGAAACAGCTCCTTCTGCAGAAAAGAAAAGGAGTTTTTAAGAACTAAAGGACAATTCAGTGACTGATCCCCTGCAGAAGTCATGTCTACAGACCAACTAACAGCCAACTAATAGTTTATCCCCTTCTCATGCCTTTAACTGACTTTCATTAAGGAAAAGGTATCATGCTGCAGGACTCTCATCAGTTCCAAAAAAATAAAAAAAAGGAAAATTCAGGGTCTTTTATTAGTTGCCCTCCCAACGTGGGAGTAAAACAAAGAGAAAGACCTCCCAGGTTACTGAGCACACACTGTGCTCTAGAAGAGTCATTAACCCTCAGATAAATCCGTGTGGGAAACTGGTGAAGAAGACAACTGCCTCTAAAGCCACAACCAAAAAAAGAAAAACTGAACTGGAGTTCAGTTGGGTACCCCCAGTACCCCATGGTCAAATGGAGAAATATCGCTCATGCCAGGTCCCAGTCCCCCAAAGAATTCCACCTCACTTTGTACCAGAGGACGAGCCAAGGGCAGTCCACGCTGCAGCTGCCGTGCCCTGTCCCAGGCACACACAGGTTCTGTGCTGTAACACAGCACAATATCAAGTTGAGTTTTTGTCTTCTGTGGCTTGGATCTTTGGGGGAAAGTTAATTTTATTTAGGTGTTTTATATGTTGCATGGGCCCCTCGAATACCTCCTCTTAAATCACTTAATTAACAGGCCCAAACCTGATCATTTCTACCTTCTTAGAAAGAATTTCCACATCCTGAATGGTCAGGTTCTGTTTTGCTCTTTTTCAAGTTGACCCAGGAAAGCAACCAGGGAATCACCTGGGTTCTGCTGGAACAGGTTCATGGTCCTTCTCCCACGTGATGACAGGGGAGGGCAGCCCTTCGATCCGACACTCAAACCGGGCCATGCCATTTTCTTCCACCGTCTGCGACTCCGGTTGCTGGAAAAAGCGTGACAATGCTGGGGAAAGAAAAAGGGAAGGAAAGTTAATAACTCAGTGCTTCTGCTGAGCAATGCAAACCTGCTATGATGTATGAGCTATGAGGAAGGCTTTTCTCTCCCAAAGATAACCCGAAGTGCAATTCCTCCCTTTCCTGTGCCCTGCAGACCCTCAGCAGTCCGAGCAACAGTAACTGAAAGGTTTCAATTTGCAAATTTGCTTCTTGCCTTATTTTCTCCCTCAAGGCAACAGCGTGAGAGAAAGGCAGGCAATTAGCTGGTTTCAGCAGCTACCTTCCTAAATTGCTTCCTTGTCTTTTCCCTTGCTCAATTTGGGAAGGACATGCACAATGAGAAACAGAAGGGAAATGCCACAGCCGGAGAGATGAGAGTTTCCCCTTGTCTTGTAGCATTCCTGCAGCCACAGGAAATTAAAGCAAGGTAAGAGGAAGAATAAAGCCAGATGGCAAGTTATTTACACGAAACAACTGCCAACGGGCTGGCAGTACTGGAGACCAGGGGCAGAGGCTGAAAGGGCTATGACCCTCCTTCTCCTACCTGCAAAAACCAACCTTATCCTACTCAAGCAGATGGGATGCAGCCAAGGGGACACAGACACCTTGCTAAGAGGAGGATGATGGATTTCATAAATGCCAGGACACTTGCTTGCTCTCCAAGGCTCACCCCTGTCTGCATGTGTCTTTACTATAGGGTGAACTTGTTTTGGAGATAAAGCACTAAGGTTTGGGATTGCTCTTGGACCGCACCCTGCCCATCCTTCACACACAGCTGCCTCATCTTCCCCCCCTTCCATCCACAGAGCAAAACCCTGCTGACTCTGGGAGCAGAAATCCTCCCCCGGGGCTGTCAGCATCTGTCCTATCAATGGTATAACCTCAAGGCATCTCAGTCACACGGTGGAGAGTTGAATATTCATGCAGGCTCCTGGATGGGGGCAGAAAGCCTGTATTCTTCTCCACCACAAGAACTGGCTCCTGCTTTCAATACGTCTCTGTTAAACCGCCCTTGCTGTGAAACCCACCCTGCCGCACAAACCATCCAGCAATGCTGGAACACGGTGCCAGAAACCCTCAACGTGGCACAATAGACATCAATTTCAGCCAGAAAACACACTTGACTGCTGGGCCAAGAACAGCACTGTGCTCATAAGGACCCCAAGTGACCTTCTGGCCCTCCAAAACAATCATGTGCTTGTCCCACCACCGCTTTCCAAGAACATCCATCATTGCTCTGGATTTTGTAGGACTCCAAACTTGAAGTTTTCTTTGCACTCACACACACACAAACATCCATGCACACACAAACACGCTTTATTGCAGTGCTAGCTTGAGAAAGTATGTAGAGTTTTGAAAATGAAATGCTTTTACATGACCCATTTTAACCTCGGCATATTCTCAGCTGTCATTAGTGTTTTTCTTTAATTTAAATAGTTATCACATGTTTCAAGCAACTCATTGCTCTCCGCAGCAGCTACAGACCAAATTCTCCCACCAGCTGTCCACCAAGTCTACTTTTCCAATTCCATACAAATGGCAATGAAAAATATTTTTCTGGGAAAAAAAACCTGAAAAAGACATTAATATGTAAGGCCTAAATTCAGCCAACTGCTTTAGTATGCTCAAATATACACTGCAGCCCCCCGTAACACAGAGTCATTTCTACAGATTACAAGATCTTTTAAGCTCATGTTAATAAAACTTGCTGAACCCAAGAGTTTAAAGAAAATTCATCAAGTGCCAGCACATGTTCAGGATGGCACCATCAAAACAAGCTTCTCCTGGCAGCAAATATCCTTAATCATCTTTCCCATTATTCTCTTTTCATCCCACAGGTATAAATGATAGTATTTTGGCAGGCTCTGGAGGGTCATGTACCTGGGAAGGTCACAATGGGAGGGAGGAATCCTTCTAAAAAGAAGAAATCTGTAGGCATCTCTGTTTCCTCTGCTTCATGTTGGGTCACCTGCCTCTCTGCTGTTCATTATTAAGTGGCATCATAGTGGTGTACAAAAGGTGACAGAGCCTCCTGGGCTACCCAGGTTACCAGGCAATAACCTGTCCTGGCTATTCCTGCCCATCAGCTGCCAGACCTGTGCCTGCAAGCTTGAAATTCCCTGCTGAGAACCGAATCCTGCCCTTCACCTCCATCCACAGCCCCATCTGCCTGCTGTGCTGGGCTCTGGAATGGCTCTTCAAAAGCAAAGAGCCAAGAAATGTGCCCGTGACAGATTCCTCATTAGGATGTGGAGGAGCGTGACTAAACAGCGCCCCTGATTAGGGAGTGTCCCTCTGCTCAGAGCAGCAGGAACAGCCAGGCTTCCCAAGCAGAGTCACAGCTTCCCGGCAGAGCTGGGAGCTCTGTGGGTGCCAGAGCTTCAGCCCTGGCAATGCCCAGCAAACTGGTTTGGCTGTTAGTACCTTCTTGTGATAACTCTTGCAGGGAGAATTCAGAAGCTGAGCTGCTCCGTCACATTCCATTGACAGGATGAGGATAGTGGGGGTAGGGATAGACTGGAAAAAATCGCCTCTGCAAGCAGCAGCCTGAAGCCTCCCTGGTGAAGGAGAGGACAGGAACACAAACAGGGATCTTTTGTGCACAGAAAGCAACACCAAACCAAGGTAAGAACAGTGAAAAGGTTCCTCTGATGCAGAACTGAACAAGACCTCTGGATCTCAGCCCTGCAAGGCTCAGGCACAATCGTGCTGGTCAGGCTCATCACTGCTCCACAAGCATCTGCATCAGACTGAGGCCAACACTGGGATCAAAGCTGTGATCCCTCTCTCATCCCAAGGGGCACCAGGGTGAAATGGAAGAGGCAGAACATGTCCAGCACCTCCAGTGCTACCAAACCCAGGCTCAGAGCTGTGGTGGTAACAGCTGGTGCTGGGAGGAAAAAGAACCAGGCAAGGCTGCTGTGGGAGGAGAGCACTGGAGAGCAGGTCCTGCTACTCCAATGCACTGCACAGAGGAGTCACAGTGAGTGCAGGACAGGCTCCAACACACTGCTCACCCCGGGGCCACAGGGATCCTTGGAGGGGCTGTTCTCCCCCCACAAACACGTTCTGATGGAAGGGGCTGCTGCAGAAGTGCTTCAAAGTGAGAGGTTTTCACGTAGGGAGGCAGGGAAAGGAGATGCTTGAGGGGAAGAGGCAAACAAAGACAATACACACTCAACATTATTTTCCACTCCTCGGCTAAGGTTTAGCTTGCAAAGCCATCCCGAGCCACAAAACACCTCCTCGCCCCTTACACTGATTATCCTGAACACCTTAATAGGCCACTCTGTAAAAATTACCCACTGCAGGTGAGAAGGTGAAGAGCATTACAGCAAATTGCCCTCGGTGACATGCCAAAGTGCCGGGCTCTGCGGGCTCTGTGCCTCCAGGAGTGGAGCAGCAGCTCCCTCCCCGCTGACATGTTAAACCCAGCTGGAGCCAAGCCGTGTGTGCCAAGGCTTTTAGCCCTGAGCCCAGGGGTGACTGCAGAATGGTGAAACACAGCACCCTCCCCCTCTCCCAGCAGCATGATCCATGCAGGAGGCTGTGAGCTTGGAAAGACTGCCAGCCAGCAACACTACACCCTAGGCAGAAAATGCAGTCTATGCAAGGAATTCAGCCTTCTGAAAGGGGCTCGCTGCTCTCTCCCACAGCGCTTTGCCCCCAGACTCTGTGTGCTCATCCTCTTTGTACCTTCTGTAATTATTAGTAGGTGTTTCCAAGACGGGGGCGGCTTCAGCCCCCACTGAGATCACATACACCACCCAGATCACCCATCCCTGAGCCACTCACCTCTGAACAGGCCGGGGGTGGAAGGGGGACATGCACAGAAAGCCATGGGAGTGATTTGCCAGGGCCCCAGGGCAGAGCCAGCACAGGCTCGGCCTGCGGGGCCACACGGAGGCACAGGATTGCTCCTGCTCTCCACAGCCACCAGCTCCCCACCTACTCAAAGCAGCACATCCACAGATGGTCCAGAGCCTGTGCATTCACCCTGCCCAGCCTGGCTCTGCCTACAGTCATCAGCCTTCACTCACCTATGCACCTAATCCACACAATAAATAGGATAAAATCCATAAAATAAATCCTTAAAGTAAGAGCAAATCCCAGCCTGCTGTTCCTCAAATCCCGTACACACCGTGCACCGCAGAGAAGAGACGCTGTGCATGTGGAGAGAGGATCACGAGAGCCCATGTGGGTTGATTCCTGCTTTGGCCTGGCTTCCAGGTGCAGGAACACTCCAAACCTCTCCCGAGCTCGCTGCCAGCAGCCACAGGCGCTGGCTCGTTCCCTCCAGGCACAGCAAACGTCTTCATCTGACAGTCACAATTACTGTAATTTTCTACAACCTCCCTTCGCACAAAATGTTTAAGCTAAATTAAAAGCTTTAACAAATCTCCACCAATGTAGTTATTAACAGGTAGAAAGCTACACCTTCCCACAGCTACAACAACGCCCCTGGTATTTCCATGTGGGAACACTCAGGGATCTGAGAAACCCACCAACCTGATTCATCAGCCTGAGCAGCTGCTCATTTAACAGACACACTCCCACCACGTTTCTCACAGCCTTGCTCCTCCCCATTTGCCACGGCCACCGCTGCCACAAGCTGTGGATGGGGACCATGGCACAGATCTCCCTCGGTGGCACACAGAGTGCCAGGGAACACTGGGCACTTCTGAGCCACATGTTTATCCAGCAGAATGCCAACAAACTGAACTCCTGGGCCACGGTGGAAGGATGGAAGTCGTCAGTGCCACAACCTGCACACACCATGCAACTTTCATCACTCCAGCCTGACTGCTCCAAAGAGCCTCTTCCAGCTCCAGGCTCACTGCTGCCTGGAGTGTCCCCTCCCTCCACCTGGAAGCTGGCAGCCCTTACACAGAGGTGCCAGAGCTGCTCTGGGGCTGCCAGGGAGGAGAAGGGGACTCCCTGAAACATGGCAGACACACTAACAGCACCAAAGCAGTGCAGAGAAAGACAGGTATTCTGAACCCCTCCTACCTGTCACTGCAAGACTCGGTGACACACAGTGTGACCCACATCCCCACATGGGATCCCCATCCCAGGGAAGCAAAGGCCCTGCAGGCCAGAAGGACAAGCTGATGGCAGGAATAACACATCCCACCTGCTGAACAGGTTTTCTTCTACTGCCCTGTCCTGATCAGCAGCGCCCAGGGCAATCAGCACAAAGAATAACTCCATCCACAAGCAAACAGCTTTTACAATCCTCACCTGCTCCAGCTGAATGCTCAGAGAGCAAGGGCTCCTGCCCAGCCCACAGAACAAATTGAAGCAGAGATGCATTTCATTAATCAATCCCCTCACTGCTCTCTGCTCAGCAGTGGCTATTATGGTATGTCAGGTGCACGTGTGTGCCACAGAGGCAGCACTTTCCCTGTGCAGATGGTAATAAAATGAGACACATGAGTACACACAAGGAAAGAGAGTTCACCTGAAGTTCCCCATTTCTGAGAGAAACCCAGAATTAGATGGAAAGAGGCATCACCTATGTAGGCTCCTCTGGAAAAATCCAGGGGGAAGGAAGGGCAATTTAAATCAGTCTCCTGGTTTTGAGGTGTCTCCACTGTTCTCACTCATGAGAAATCAAACACCAAACCCAGGACCATAAGAGAGACACAAATCATTGCAACCAGGCAAGAGGCACAGTGCAAACTTCAACACAAATCACTCCTAAAAGGGAATATATCCTAATTCTGGCTGTCTGGAACCAGGGCAGGAGCAGCTGAATAAATCCTCCTGTCCTCCTGACAGCTTTTCTACTCCAGGACTCCAACCTCCACCTCCCCAGAAAATACCTCCATGCAGGATCCCTGACTCATCCCCACAGCCCTTAGGGTCCTTTCACTTAACAAAATGCTGGAACCAGCTATTTACCTGGCACCACAAATCACAGAAAGGAGGGAACAGGAGGGATGGGTGACCAGCAATCTGTGGCTGCTGCATGCTAAACATTTTCTGAGCAGAAAAGCAGGACATTTGCAAAGGTAAAAGACTTTCCCCCTGATCTGCAAAGCTTCATCAACAATGCTGGTTTCTACAGCAAAGCACTCACAGCCTGAAACACCCACTTGGCCAAACCTGGACAGCCCTGCCTGGGCTACCAGAGGCTGAAAACATCCCAGTGTAAAGAGGGTGTCAGAACATCCACTCTGCATCTTCACCCACCACAGCTCTGATCAAGTGCCCTGATGGTGTCCTGTGCACCTGCATTCAGCAATGTTTCCATAAGTCACTGCACTAGAGAGAAGTGTTGCTGTATCTGCATTATTTTCTAACCTCATCTGTTTTGTACATCAAGGAATCACTTATCGGCACTCACAGCCTTAAAATAGCTCCAGGAACCAGCCCTGAACACAAAGGAATTTTATTCTTGAACGCCATGCAAAGATTCAGTGGTTCAGACTTTGGAATGTCCTTCTCAGAGATCCAAACAGAAACCACCTGGAAGAGCCCTTTCCCTCATCTCCTCCATTACCAAGAGAGATTCACCTCACAAGCTGTCACAGCCAGACCCCCCCCAGTCACCTCCCCAGGCACAAGGTGCTGCCCTCGGGGCTGTGAAGTTCCCTGCAAAAACAAGCCCTGCCTTTGGAGAGTGATGAGGGTCCTGTTTTTAATTCATGGCTGATGGCACTTACCTGGGAGAGTTACACAGGGTGCTCACAGTGGGATAACAGGAAGTCAACGCTGCTTATTTGTGGACTATCCCTAATCCCCTATATATCATTAATAGAACTTGACTTCATAGACATTTTATCTCAAACTCTCAGGGAAGCAGGTGCTCTGTATAAATACCAGGAGGGGAAGGAAGGTCAACAAAAAAACCCAGAACACTTACTTGAAAACCTGACTGCAGCCGTCTGACTGGTGACAGTCCCTAGGGAGCTGTGAGACACACAGGAGTAATTCCCCTCAGCACTGGGATTTTTACTGTCCTTTGCCACAGCCTGGGATGAGATGAAGAGCGATCCATTCGGAAGCACGTGGAGATGTTCCTGCTCCACTAATGGAAACCCATTCTTCTTCCATGTGATGTTGATCACTTGCTCAGCAGGGGTCAGGTTACAGTCCAAAACCACTTCTTGGTTTGGCTCCAGTATCACCTTTGCAGGACCAGCACTACAGCTCAGGTCCAGAGAATCCCCTTCCAACAGGCTCCCTGCAAAGAGAAGACAGTGTTGCAGAAGGGTTTGCTTTCCTTGGTTAATCACATCCCAGTTTTATACAGCAAAGGAAGCATGGCTGGAGACACCAGGTGAAATTCAGCCCTGTGAGGTGGCCAGCACCTCCCATGACACTTGCACCCTGCATTCTCCATCACACACCCCTGTGGCTGCACAACCTGCACCATTTCTGCCACCCTCCACTGGGTCCAGCAGCCAACCCTCCTATCCGTACTTGCTTTCTCCAGGCTAGATTCAAGCAGAAAACAGCTGGAAGACAGTGAAGTGATGGCAACAGCAAGAGCAAGCACAGAAGATGCAGTAAGGGCCCAACCTGCCATGACTGCCCATTACAAGCAAAGGCTCCCCTTCACCTGCACACCAGAGCCTCCTCCAAGGCTGATCAACCCCCACAGGACAACTAAGTTGCACGGGTATCCAGGCCCAGCATGGCATCCCCATAACAGTGACCACAACTTGGTTGGAGCAGGTGCCCCTCTCAGTGGCAGTAAGAGCTCAAGTCCAGCTGGGAATCCATTAAGACAGCAAACTCCCACTGACTTTCATGGACTGGGAAACTCGTTTCAAAGCAAAGACAACAAAAGAATGGCTAAAAACATGACCTGCTGTCTCTGAGCATTTTACCCCTTATAGGTGAAGCCAGAATGAGAATGGATGGGTGCATTTTTCCCACTGGAAAAGAATATTCCAATTGCTAGCAGACAGTACCCAGCATGTGCCCTTAGGCAACCTTCCTGCTGCAGCCTGAGGCCGGAGCAGTGACCAGCAGCAAGCTCAGCTGAGCAGATCTTGGTCTGGCCAACTTCCAAACCCACGTACTCGAGGGGAGCTCCACCTCTGAAACAATGCTCAGCATTTCCTAAAAGAATATTGCCATTAATAAAATGCATTTGCCGTTAGAGTCCTCCAGAGACACTAAGTCAATGTTAGCTGGCAGCGCTGCTTCCACACACCAGCAATTTCAATCTCTGCTGTGCTCAAACCATCACCATCCACTCTTTTTATGGCTCCGCTCCAAATTATTTTGTCACTGCTCCAATCAGAAATGTTTCCTGCCTCTATAACAAGTTTATCAACACTGGATATGAACCACATGGCTCCCTGCCCGTCTCCTATCGCAGAAGGCTACAGATTAATTTTATAGGAATTCAAACACCCTATTAAACCTGCTACTACCTACTGCTGATAAAAGGGCTGCACTTTAAAAGAGTGTGTGTTAAGCATGCAATTAGGGGCAATGACACGCAAAATTACACGTGCAGGGAGATGGAATTATTTCAAGGCGTGTGCCAGAAACCGCAGGTGCCCCTGGAAGGAAGGGTTCAACCCTGCCCACGTGCGGGGCCAATTCGGTGCCCATGGGATGGGAACTTGTCGGGTTTGCCATCGCTGCTGGGTGGTAGAACAACCACCAAGAGTTGGAGTTGGCCAGTTCTGTCCCTTCAGTGATGAGGAGGCTCCACAAGTCCCTACTTGCCTGCTGGCTGTTAATTGCCATCATTATGGGAGAGAACAGACCCCGCCCCAAGCACTGTCACCTTCACTAGCTGGTCCAGGGGGCAATCTCCCAGTTCCCAAAGCCAAACTCCAGCAGGATGCAGAGATGCCCATGTCACAGTCAGCACAACAGCCAGGTGCTGTACTCCAGGACAAAGGGGCAGCCACTGCCAACACAGAGCTGCTTGCAAGTCCCTGGATTTAGGGTTTTCCCGCATGGATGCTTCCACCATACTGCTGACTCACACTGTGTGGGAAGAAGGCACAGCCAGAAGCAGCAGCCACTGAGCTCCCCACATGCACACACCACAATGTAATTTCTGGATTTGTCAGCCAGCACAGCCCTGGCAGATCCAGGCCACTACACAGGGACTGCCACCAAACCCCTCCCGCAAGGGCAGTTCTGCCCACTCATTCTCCTGGAGCAGATTAGTCCTCTGAGGATCACAGCAAGCTACAGAACTCACTCAGTGGCTCCACAGGAGGGCAGAAGCAAGGGAACATGAACCTGAAAGGCTGCTCCAAACATACTGGAAAGAAATTGCCCCTGGAAGCCTTCCCTCCAAGACAGCCAGCACCAAAACACTGTATGAAATAGGGAGAAATCAAGCCCCCCAAATATACCTGTGCAGGTGACAAGGCCAAACACAGGAGAGGGTTAACAGTCTGTGGCCAGGGAGAACTCAGCTGAGCTAAGGACAGGAGGCAACTCAAATGCTGTCATGAGAACTCCCATCCACATGAGAACCCTCATCCATGGAGAAGCAACGATCCAGACATTTCTCCAAAGTCCTCATTCTTTGCCTTCCCTTACATTTGTTGTCCTTAGAAGCTCCTGTTCATCGCTTGGGGAATGGCCCATATATCTGTCCCATTTTCTATTTTCTTCAGACAGTAATTAGAATGGCATTTTGCTGGAAACATTCCTCCTCTTCCAAAGGTGAAGCACAAGGGGACAGCTGGCTGGCTCAGGCAGCCAGGAATAGAGCAGGGATCTGCAGTGCAGCTTCCCATGGTAATAAGCAATTATCAGCCTCTCAAACTTCAATTCCTTAAAAAATTCACTCAACCTGCTTTCAGCAGAGTAAGAACAAACAGCTCCATACTTTCCATCACAGCAAGAAGTAGTATTTGCTTTTCAAAAACAAGTGGTGAAGTTTCTATATCCCCAAATCACCCAGCTCTTTTCCACAAAGTCAAAACCTACCTGGATCCAAGTTGGTTGGTCAAACACATGTGACAACCCAGTGTTATTTGTTATTTAGCTCAGCCTGGAAAGGCCTCCTGCTAGGCAAATGAAGTTTCCAATCCAACATCAGGCTGCTCTGACCTGTCCCAAATCATCCAGCCCTCCTTCCTGCCCTTTCAGCCCCAAAATACTGCAGTTTTGGTAGACAGGCCACGGAGCATACAGAGGTTGAGCAGCAGGGTCCAGGACCCAAACGGGGCATTGCAAAAAGCCCCACTATGAGTCTTGTCCTGAGATGTTCAAAGAACTGCATAAACACCCCCTGATTAAGGAAAAAATACCTTCCAGGCTCTGGAAATGTAGGAGGAGGTCTGGTTCAAAACACTGCACTAAATTAGCAAGCCTGACAATGAGATAAAAGCCCCTTAAAGGGAAAGGATCAGAAGAGAGTAAAATTAGTCCAAGTGAGATCAAAGACAAATGAAATGAGGAATGTTAAGTGCTTACAGAAGCTCCTGACTATTTCCAACCTCCATTCTTCACCCTGTAGTGACAGGAATGGGCAGGGCCCTGCTAAAGCACAGAGCCACGTGCTCGTGCAGCCTCCTGCTCACCTTCACCCTCTGCCCTGCCCGAGGTGATGCTGTGATGAACGGAGTCAAGGGGGGCTTCCAGGGCAGGAGCCAGGAGGGCTTTTCACACCTCAGTCCCAGGCAGGTGTTCCAGCTACAGACCTGGGCTTTGGAGCTGGAGAGCTTTTTGCTTTTGACTCCTCCGGAAAGTAGGTACAACTGTTGAGCTATTCCAAGGCAGACAGGAACAGCTTTGAGATTATAAATCATGTAAAAGTACACACTTACACATAGATACACACAACATACATGTGCATTCACACACAGAGTTCTGGAGGAATGCAGATGTATTCAAACACAGAGCATGCCCTGGAAGGGAGGGTCTTTGATGCAGCAAGTTAAAAGCATTTTGTTCCCATGAGAATTATATTTTCTGACCCAGGCTCTGCAGGGGTTTTTTACTCTCCCCCATGTTGCAAACCCCTAGGCTATAATGTGCATAAAAACAGCCCAGGAGAAAAATGTTCTTTTTCTTCCATCTATTTCCTCACTTCCATCAGCCAGCCATCCACCTCCAGCGTCCAGGCCCAGTGAAGTAAATTAAAAAGTCTCCTGTTGAGTGGCATAAAAAAACAAGGCGTTTCAAATGAACAAAGGTCGTCAAATCTTCAAGGCACAAAGCTGTCCCCTGCCCTCCGTGGGAGCACAGCCCCTGCCAGCCTGATTTCAGAGCCAAGGCAGGCATCTGAAAACCCGCATTAAACCAGCCAACATCACTTCCCCAATCACACATCTCAGCATACAGCCAAACCCCACTCCTGTCACCTCCTCTCCTCAGCATCAAAGGGAGGCAGGAATAGCCAAACTTACCACTGAGCAAAGGGGAAAAAGAATGGATTCTGTTGGGTTTGCAATTTCAAATCTGTAACTAAGCAGGTGAAGTGTGAGCGAGAAACACAGCGAGGTCCGACAGATCCCTGACAATGCAATTACTTGGGCAGAGGTGAGACCCTCACAGCAGTGTTTTGCACATCCAGGACGTGCAATACTCCAAGCCCATGGAGATGGGAGCTTTCTCTCCATGGCTAAGAACAGCACAAACTCCCACTTGTCTCCTTGCACACAGGGCTATTCTCCTTCCCTGAGGTTTAACCACTTAAATCAAGGTGGAAAAATCCAGACAAGGGAGATGCTTGTCCTGGTGAAATTTTGGCTATCGGCAGTAAACATGTCCTTGAGCTCTGCTACACAGCATGAGCAAATAAAAGGTTACTGTTCAACAGGAGACAAATGGCTTTGTGCAGAGGAGAACGAGTTGTGGTTTAGTAATTACTGTAAAAACAAAACATACAGGCATAAACCCAAAGGGATGTGATTCTGTGCACTGGCATATCTGTACTTCTGTGTTTTTGGACAGCACCTGGCACAGCTGGAATCACCTGATCCACAATCCCTGAGTAAGGTCCCTAAGGCAGACAGAAAGGCAGTATTTGGTTGAGATGTCCTATCTTCTCTTGAACAAACTCGTCAAGCTGGGGGAAGTCAAAGAGGTTTAGGCACACACAAGATCCCAAGGCACAACCACTCCTAGAACCCCCAACCCACTCCTACAACCCCCACTCAGCAATTCCAAGGCTCAGACCTTCACTTCAAGGCAGGGGAGGCCCATCTTTAGCACAGCTGAGTGAGGCCCAGGGAGCAGCTCAAGGACACACAG